AGTAAAAATATGTTTCAATGATCTGATGAATTTCAGGAAAACTGAAGTCTGATGTTGTTTTCACTATAAGTTTTTCTTTATCTCAATCTCTTTAAATTATTTATTTAATTATTTTCTTTTATTTAACTCTTATCTTTTATTTTAAAAATAACTTTTAAAAACACTTTTTTATCTTTACTACTATTATTTATTATTTTATTATTTCCCTTTTTATTTATTATTATTTTATTATTCTTTCTTTTTAAATTATATTATTTATTTTTATTTTTTTATATCTTTTCAACTTCATCTGGAACTATATTTTCTTTTAAATCAAGAAACAGTTTTACTAAATCAGAAACACCACAGTCCTTGTGGATCGACCCTGCTTCTTTATACTACTTTTCCTTTCTATTTATTAAGAATCCGAAATTATTTTGATAGTAAAATGTCGATCATCAAATTGGCGTCGTTTTCCGGGGACTAACGATAAGTACTAATTTATTTTTCCGAGTTTATGAATATTGATAGGGATGGCAACGAGTCTGTTAGTCTCAGGTTTTTGGTTAATTCGGATCGATCCAAAATATATATCATCCACTTGAATTTGACTCGACCCGATAATTATATATCTTTCAGCCGATCCGACCCGTTCCCAAAAAAATATATATCCTCTACCCAACTCCAATCCTAACCCGACTTGGTATAAAATAAAGATTTAATTAAAAATAATAAATTCTTAAAGAAATTAAATTATTATCCTCGTGTCGGGTTTAAGTTTTTTCACTCTCCGCTTGAACCTGACCCGATCCGACCTCACCCCTTAAATCCAACTCGACCAGAACCCAATTATTTTTTTAAAAAAATCTGACACTATCGGATTTGATCAAGTCGGAACCCATCAATTTCATGTTAAATTACCATCCCTAATCTTAAAATATTATGTTAATATTTGGGATAACATTCATATCATAATTACACAAAATAAATTTACTTTTAAGATAATGATTTTCCACGACACAATAATAATTTTTTATAGGTAAAGTATAGTAATGGTCACTGAACTTTTTTGAAGCTTGCATTTAGGTCCCCTAACTTTTAAAACTTACAATACAATCCTCCAACATTTAGTCCATTTGTAATATGGTCCCCGACGTAACCGGTCGTTTGACATTGTTTCACTGCCGTTAGAAGAAGATGACATGGTAGTCCTCCAACATTTAGTCTGTTTGCAATACAGTCACTGAACTTTTCAGGTGCTTGCATTTAAGTACCCCAACTTTTAAAATTTGCAACGCATTTCTCGATTTCATTATAAACACCAAATTTTAAAATAATTCAATTATATTTTAAACCCTAAATTCTAAAATACTTTATTTTAAGGTTTAGAATATAATTAAAGTATTTTGGAATTTGGGGTTTAGAATGTAATTGAAGTATTTTTGGATTTTTGAACATGAATTTGCTATTTGATAGTGTTTACTTCAATATAAATTTGAGGTTTGTTGCATGCGCATTCAACGGCTGCCGCACTTTGAACATGAAAAGTGCACCAATCACGTTTATTGCATAAATCGCTGAAGTAAAAGTAACAAGGCCAATTTGTATTGTTCGTAGCTGTCGCACTTTGTTATGACAATCCAATAGGTTTGGATGGAACTTAAGCATGCATATCCAACGGCTGCGAAAATAATAAAGAGTTTTAGTTCATAGGACTACAACATACAACCAAGCAATAACTAAAATAAACCAAGAATATCAATTAATAAATCATTCAATAGGAGGACTTAATAAATAAAGGGAAGAGGTTCGGTCATAGTCACTCCAAAAGCTAAGGCGTCAAATGGGTTGTTTAAGATAGACATTAGATGTCAAATACAACATTACCGATTGCAAAATGGCCTACTCTTTTACCATATAATTGCTTGTAATGCTCCATGTTTAATGTTCCTCAAATAGCCAAACATGATGAGAATCTAAAGCAGATAGCAGGACTAAAATCATAGGACCCCATAATTCTTGTACATTCGTGGCATGTCAGCAATAAAAGACATTGTAAAACATAGAGGACACTGCAATAAACATATATATGCCAGAAATGAAAGTGTAAATATGCAATGATCGGGCAACATATCAAGTAGCTGCTCCAAATATACTACCCTGTCATAATGTCATTCGAGTTGCGTGCATGCAGAATTGTCTTCTAAATCTATAATTCAATACAGATTTAACTGTAAAATTTCCAAAACATGTAAAAAAATCAATTCGATCACTATATATCAGTCTCATATTCAACATGAACTTATTAAAAAGAATACGATCCCACAGGACGCCGAAAACCACAGGTTGGATCAATACAATTCCTAGTAAACTAGTACCAGCAGTCTCTCGGATTGAGCCCGGAGATTTCACTATGTCGATACTCACAACCAATTCCCTGATTTAAAGAAAAACCAAACAAGAAGATCAAAAAAAATTTAGCCTATGTCCCTCTTTCACTTCTATTTTGATGGACTGAATATCTTTCATAAGGTGTACTCAAAGTTTTGATTAAGAAGAAAGAAAGAAAATTAGATGATTTTGGTTCAAAACTAAAACTGAATATCCAGATCCTTGACATGCAGTTCCAAAAACATAAAAATTTCAAAACTAACACTGAGATGTATAACATTACACCTTGAATCATTGATAGTCCCTTGGTCGGGTCTTCTTTCAATGGACCCTTATTCAAGTCAACACCTCCACAAAATTCAAAGTTAGATTAGAATTTTCCCATGCATCCCCGACTAAAAAGTTACGTTCAAACGATCGGTTACATCTGAGACCATATTACAAATGGACTAAATATTGGAGGACTATACTGCAAGTTCTAAAAGTTGGGGACCTAAATGCAAGCTTTAGAAAAGTTCAGTGACCATTACTAACTTTTACCCTTTTTATTTTTATATCGAGTTTATATTTCTCATCAAGAATAACGATTTGTTTTATCATAATTTATTTTTCAATGATGTTCACGTTATCCTTTATGATACCCTAACCTTTATATTAAAGTATCCTAGACTAACTTAAACAAAAAAAAGTGTCCTAAAAATCAAATTTTGACTTCTCTTAATTTACTTTTATCTTATATGAATCTAAAACACCCTTATTCAACTCCAATCTAATATGTTTTAAAAATGATAGAACAAATAATTTAGTGGTTAAAGAAATATTTGTTATCTTTAGATATTCTAAATTCGAGCACGAGTGATTATAGGATATCACTTAAATTAATAATAAAAAAATGACAGAAGCACCCATCGTCATAAAGCAGCTCGATCCATGCTAAAGTGTTTGTAATTAGGCTGTTTTTCTTAATTATTTACTAATATAATGTTTAATAACTCTCAAATGAAATGATGTCAGTGCTACAAAATTTGGCAACTTCAGATATCTTTGAGGGTGTTTGGTTCAAGGATTGTGGAATTCTCATGGGATGGGAATCCCACATTCCCATGTTTGGTTGGTCGGGAATCTCATTCCCGGTAATGTTTTATTACCAATAGTAGATTTTTTGGGGTATATTACTGGGAATGTCATTACTTCCATTCCCTTAGTATTGTAACATTACCGACGTTTTGGACTAAAATACCCTTAAATTTTTTTTTTCAAAAATATCATTCTTCTGTCATTGAATAATAAAAATTCTACGAAAGTTAAATTACAAATTTATCCTTAAATTATTTTAGATTTATAAAAAAAAATCTATTATTAAAATTTTATATTAAATTCAGAGATTATAATTTTTTTACCCTTTCATTAAACTTTTTTTATATTTTTAATTTTGTAAAAAAATTATATAAATATTATGAATTTAATTTTTTTAAAAATATATATAAATATTTTACAATTTTTAATATTATACAAATATATAATAAAGACAATTTGATCAAATATATTTCAATAATTTTTTATTCATTTAACCAAACACGGTAATCTTACATTCTTGCTAAACCAACTAAACACAAAGTACAACATTCTCAGTAATCATATTCCCTAATAATCTTTTATTCTCATTGATAATCTTACATTTCATGAACCAAACACACCATTAAAGTATTTTTTTTTTAGATAAGCAAAGAAATAAACATAATTAATTACAAAAGTCACCACTTTTGACGGTAGAGAGCAGGAATGAGTTGATGGAGTGCCATAGGAATGGAATTCCTCTGCCCTATCTTCTGTCCCTATGTATGCCCCTACCATTTAGATTAAAACACGTGTAATAAAACTAACTAGTAAACTAACAGAGTTTTGACATTAACCTTTATTTCCTTATTTCGGTTTTTTTTGTTTCTTAAAATAAAGTTAACGCATGTAACTTTTTAAAAGGAATTCAATAATAGTAATTTATTTTATTTTATTTATATCTTTTATTTATTATTAAATTTTATTTTCTAAAAGTTTTAATTATTTCTAATGATTTAGTTCGATTGATTTATCTCAAAGAACAATCAAAGTTAATAATAAATAAAAGAGATAAATAAAATAAAATAAATTACTATTATTGAATTTCTTCTAAAATATTACATGCGTTAATTTTATATTACAAAGCAAAAAACCTTTACATGAAAAGGAAATAAAGGTTAGTGGCAAAATTTTGTTTGTTTACTAGTTAATCTTAATACACGTGTTTTAATCTAAATGGTGGAGCACATACAGGGGCAGAGGAATTCCATTCGTGTTCGTATTCCTTAAAAATTTTAAATTTTTACGTGACTAAATATTTTGTTTATAATTTTTTTTTAATGATTTAATTTTATATTTTTAAAATTTTATAATTTTACATATTTAAATTTCTAGTGTAACCTCTTAAAAATTCGTACATATAATTATCGACACTCATTTTTCATCATGTCTTTTAATATTTTATTATTATTATTATTATTATTAATTATTATTATTAATTTATATACAGGTTAAATATAAAAATAAATTCCAGAGCCCATTACAAAGCTCAACATCAACCCAATTACAGGACCCAGCTTGAAGCCCAAGTACCACACCCTTGCAGCACCATCACTTGAAGCACCCAAATCTTCAGATTACGCCTAAATATTCACCTGCTCCAACCAAATCTCACCAAAGCACAGAAAATTAACAACGACAAAGGATTCGGTGGAGAATGAAAGCTAAAAAAGATGGAATCATTCGAGCAGAAAAAAAAAAGAGAACTGGGGGGCAGTTATCGAATAGAGAGGGGGTCTCGATCTTTCCTTCAAAAAAAAAATGGAGAGGAAATCAATGTAAAAGAGAGAAGAAAATGTAATCCTACTATTGGAAAGAAAAAGAAAAAGCAATAGAAAGACTGATTTTTTTTAGGTACTCTCCTTCGATATTTCTTTTCCAGTTCGAATTATTTCGAAAATAAATAGAAAGTAGAGATGGAGTATAAAATTACCTTAGTTGTGTAAACGACACTAGAGTCTTGGTGGCTCCGCCTTAGCCATTCGGGTCTCCACTGTCAAAGAGAAAGTGTTGAGATTAGTCTTAAAAATCGAAACATATTAAGTGATAAATAGTAACATTTGAGTTTACCTGGTCGTTGGGTTGTTATCGGGACAGAGGGCTTCACGGCTTCCATCCATGCCGTTGAAGGTCTCGTTGTTAGGGGAAGAGATCCAGACCCAAGCGTCGCGGGGGGAATGATAGTGTAAGACGTTAGTTTCTTTATCGATGAGGGGAACATAAAAAAACCAAAACCCTTGATCTGTTTTTGAGGTTTGCATGTTAGTTCCGAGGTCAATTATAGGGCTTTAAGAGATGAAACGAAGAGATTTAATGGGCGCATGGCAGCCGATTTAGAGAGTTTTAGAGCCTCTCGACCGAAGAAGATAACAGTGAAAGGAAAGAGTTAGGGAGTTTATTTTTAAACTTTAAGGTTCAAATCAAAATAGGAGGAGGGGTTTGGTCCATTACCTGCTTAGTAGAGCTTCTCATCAGAGCTAACCGGAGTGGTGAAGTGCGACAACCATTTGTTTATGCTGGAAGCGAGAGAAGGAATGGAGAAGCAGATAGTTAGGGGCAGTAATAGAGAGATGAGGCTATGGGGTTTAGTTTCAATTTAGGTTATTCTTAATGTTTTAAGTAATATATATATATTAAATGATTTGGGTGATTTTAGATAAAAAAAAGACAAAATAAAAAAGAAAGGTCATATATCTTTGTGAATCTGTTGTGTTTAGTGATTACCTATTGTGGAGTCCACGTGCTCTTCACAATTAATGGTTAAAGACACATGTAGTCCCTTTCTAGTTTGAATTAGAATCACTTTAGTCCTAGAATATTAAGAAAAATTATATTAGTACTCTCTAGATTTGACATACTATTTTACTTTTAATTTATTTTAATCCGTAATTAAAACTTGATTTCGTTCGCATGTGCCTACTGTTTGCCTATTTGATTGTCATAATATACCTTTATTATTTTATATTACGTTATATTTAAATATATATTTTATTTGGTACATAGTTTTGTGTTTCCCATATATATATATATTAAAAATGTTTTAATTATTATATTGTATATTATTTTTATATATTATATGTCATAACGTATGTATAAATTATATATTATATTTTTAAATATGTGTATAACCTTCGTATGGATATATCATTATATAGGATAGCTTTTAATGTATTTATGATTATAATACATCATTTTTTATAATTTATATGATATCCTCATAAGCATCACTTGGCTCAAATAGAAATAAATTGACTAATGATAATATTCGATCATTTTAAAATTATTGAAAGAAATTTTCTAATACGTGATTATTTAATCATTTTAATATATAGCATTAAGTATTAATACTAGAACTTACATTTTAAATTTGAACTCCTACGATCCTTAATTTTCATAATTTGACACTTTAAGTTAGGAAATGCCTTAATTTACTTTTAGTTTAATTAAGACAAATAAAATTGTGTTTGATTGCATTGTTTTTACAAATCTAAGGCATTGTTCACTTATTAAGGAATTAATAGTATATCTCCTACGATCGTGCTCAGGGGGTGAATGTCGGTAATTCATTGAATAAGTCGACATCCTTTTTAAAACCACATCATGCTTTCTAAAAATGAGGCAATATTCGGTTATTAGGCACAATAACTGATCTCTCGCATTTACGCTCGGGGGCGAATGTTATCGGTCTCGATAAACGAATATCTTTTTTAACTTTGCATCCTTAATGATTTTTAAATTAAATAAAGATCGAACTCTAAATTTTTTATTTTAAATATAGGGTAATCAACTAGGTACCAATTTTTGGGCGCTTGTGGGGTGCTAATCCTTCCCCACGCGTAACCGACTCCCGAATCTGATTTCTGGATTTTCGCAGACCTTAAAATTCGGTATTTTGATAAAAACAAAAGGTTTTATTAAAATCATCCGATTTTTATGGTGTTCCAATCGCACCTTAAATGATTGGTGGCGACTCTTCACCTTTCAAAATAATTTTTAAAGAGAAAAACCCCCGAGTCGGTATCGGTCTTTCCCCGCCCGGGCGAGAAACGATTACGACATCTTGGCTACTCTGCTGGGGATCTTTTGTTTTTTTAAACAAATTAAGAGTCTAGCCACAAGTTGAGTACCCTATATTTATGATTTTGGAAATTTTGAGTTCGATCTTATTTAATATATGGTTCATTATGTTCTTTAAAAAAAAGATTTTCTCTCCAGTTAATGCTTACACTTCTGTGAAATATTTAGGAGTGTTGCATATCATAAGCTCTAACCCGAGCTCAAACCCGATTTACCTAAGTAGAGAGAAACATCACACCTCACAAGGAGCATTGGGCTTCTTTGTGTGGGTCTGACAAAGTATCTCTGGAAAGCACCCTAAGTTGCCTATCCGGATACCAGATCTGAGGTACGCTTTTAGTGGTGTGATCCCCTGAGCTGAACCCGATTCGCAAGTCTGTAATGGGCCAGAATCGGGATGCAACCTTAGCAGGTTGTAAAGATGGCTTGGGAACCATTTTCTAGAACCCAACCTCATATAAAGAATTTAGTAAGCCTACCCCGTTAAAGCCATGCAGATAACCTAGGAGAACTAGAACGCATGTGGTTATGACCATTAATTTCCTTTGTATGTTTTATTTTTTAGTCTCAACTTTAAGTCATATTTAAGATTATATTTTTTTTGACTAATCATTTCAACTAATTTGATTCTTGTTGTCTTGTTTCTATTAACATTGATTTTCTTTTATTGTATTTTTGCATGTATCATTGTCACATCACATTATTTCATAAACGGTATTGATTCTCAGATCACCTAGTTATTATAAAAAAGCTTAAGGCATCAATGTCTTTCGATGGGACTGAGAATGCAATCAGTGTTCAGACTTGGTTTGAATATGGGTAGACATGATTTGGGGATAACCTTGTCACTACCGAAGATTTAGTTTTTCTAGAAAAGGTAACTATTCGAGTCAGACAGGCACACTGGACTGAGTTATCAAGAAGTTGGTCTACCTGGGATGATAATGAGAATACACTATTTAGAGGGATATATGGCGACATCGTAGAGCTACTGAGAGTACCAATAGATTCGATGGTGGTTCGAGCCCTTGCCGAGTGTTGGAATCCAAATTACAAGGTGTTTCACTTTTGGTAAAGTATACATGACCCCGACCTTGGAAGAGTATACATCTTTGTTGAACATCCCAAATGTTAAAAGTTTAATTTACGAGCAAACTTCATCGAAAAGAAGAAGATAGTGGAGCTAGAAGGAGCATAGTTGATCAACTCATCCACATAAGAGGTAACCATGCAAGAAAACGAGGCCTTAAGAGAGAAGATTGTTGAATTAGAAGTCATAGTGCATAGATGTCATCAGCGAATCCAACAGCTAGAAGAGAGCCGACCATTAACTAATCCAGAGCTTGGAATTGCTCTACGGTAGGCTCAGGACACCATTCAAAGACAACATGATGCAATGGAGAGAGCAATGGATCAGGCCCGCAATGTAGCTCGCCAATTCTAAGAATTATCTGAAGAAGCGACAGCTTGAATAGTTTTCGTGATTACAGAAACAGAGAAAAAACGGCACATCATGGGATTGATGATAGAGCTCGAGAGATTAGGGAATAAGGCAAGATTCCACGTTTAGTATTTATATCGATATAATCTCTTTGCCTAAGTGATTAGACATTGTGTTTTGTTGAGTACTTTTTATATAAACTAAGTTATTTTTGAATCAATATTGGGTTGCATTTGCATTTGACATCCACATTTTCATTCGTATTGCTTTAATTTAAACTTTTTTACACGCATCAATCATGAAAACGTGAGAATAACTCGTGAAAGATAATGTGACAGAAGCTCCAAAAGCAAACTGAAGTTATCCGAGGTGTGTTTCTGAAAAAAATTTGAAAGAAATGAATGAAATATTAGCACGTGTTAGTAGGATCGAGATAATCCAAGAGCAACTCATAAGGAAACAGCAAGAAATGACTGAGGAAGCAAGAAAGTTCCAAGTTGAGTCCAAGGAACAGATGTCCAAGTTGATGAGCATGATGGTTACAGTAATACATGGGGAGAAATCGTTAGAGGACCCTATTATGCAAGGAAATATAATGACTTCAAGTGAGAATATGAATGTTAGTGGTACAGCCAATGCAATGACAACAAGTGATCAAGAACCTGTTAGAGAGTGTGGTAATCCAGGTCAACTCAAAGAATCGAGCACGATTCTAGGAAATATGACAGATATCATGCGTAGAAAAGCAAAAGTTGAAGGTGAAACTGATAACACAAAAGTTGAGTATGACTCAAAGAAGAGAGGCACATAGGAGGTTCAAATGCCAGTAAAGAAGGCCAAAAAGAATAGAAAGAAGAAGAAGATGATACTTCTGATTCCGATTCCGATCTCATACTCAGACTTGTTACCCTTTCTCTTTGAAAGTGGGCTCCTGTCGCCTTTTCCTCTGAGGTACAATACTTATTTGCGTCTAGACTGTCAAAAATTCATGCGACTATCATATTGGAGAGTTTAGCCACTCTACAGAAGATTGTACGATCATGAGATTTAAAGTTCAAAACCTCATCATGGAAAGGCTATTATGCTTTGAAAATGGAAAACCTAAACTCCTCGAAAGCTCAAAACTTGACGATGAAGGGAGATCTGCAAACCAATGTCTCTCCCAAGATGCTGGTCAAATGTTAAAACTTTAAAGCGAGTGTTTCAGTGATCAATCACGAGGTCTTCAATCTGTTCATAATAATGGCAAGGAGAAAGTAAGGTCAAAAGAGCTTTTATACAGCTAGTTATATCACAAGTTGCTCCAAGCCCAGCTGATTGCTCCACGCCTGACTAAACCTCTGCTGCCCCCTTATCCGAGCTGGTATAATGAGAAAGTTTCTTGTGAATATCATGCTGGAGCCGGAGGATACTCTATCGAGAATTATAGTAACTTCAAACAACAAGTACAAGATCTTTTGGCTTATGGAGTTATAAAGGTGGATGGTAACAATCAGTCTGTTTCAGCCAAACAGTTTAAAGTCAACCCTCAGAATGGAGTTGATGGGGTTGAAACAAGTGAAGTACATACAGAAAAGGTGAAATGTGAAATCAAGGAAAGCAAGGTATGTAAGGTAGAGATAAAGGACTCAACTCTCGAGACCTCTTTAACTCTAAAACAGAAGATAAAGGTGGGAAGTGACGAGAAAAAAGTCAAAAGAGAGGTAATCCGAGACTGGCCGCAAAAGATGTCTTGGGAAAATATAACCCTCAAGGTTTTGCAAGTTCCAATTTCTGACTTGCTATCCCCTTTAATCAAGAATCGGTACCTCACTCCAAGACCTTTAAGAATGAATACTAGCTCATCCACTTATGGCTATGACCCGAATAGTGCTTGTGATTTTCATCTAGGGGCATTGAGTCATCACACTGACAAGTGTATACCATTGATGGAAGAGATAGATAGGCTCGTTGACAAAGGAGTCATGACAATAGACATGATCGAGAAATAGGGAGTAAGTAAGGGTAAAAACCCTAATCCGAC